ATGACTACCGTCCAAGGGCAAAGTATCTGTGGAAACAGACTTTCAGTTGGGCAAGTCCCGGTAGTCCACATGGCAGCATAGGAATTTTCAAAATTCGTGCAGTGTGCAGGTTCTTTTCTCATACTGGTGATTCTTTGGGTGGATTTCAGTTTCAGTCACATGTGCAATGGCTCTAATTTTCCCTGGAAATTCTTTTCTTTCTTGAATATTTTCACCTAAGATTCAACAGGGGGTGAACACTTCTCAAGTCTCTTATCTGAACACTAACTATAAATCCCAAGCCTGGGAACTTTTCTGATTCAAGAGAGACAGTTAGATACATATGAGAAAACAACACTTGGAGCATTAACCGTGCCTCACAGTTCTGGAACGGAGAACAGGGCATGCACACACAGAATAGGGGGGACCTCAGGGGGGCCTCAGGAAGGCACAAAGGGCCAGCTCTTGAGAGTACGTTCCCTGCACAGCAAGCATAGAATCACTGGTAAGATCTGGTATGCTCCCAGAGGAAAAGCTAACTATAGTGCAAAATGTGGGGTGGAGAGATCCATCTTTACCATACACAGGAGCTTACATTGATAGGAGAAGTCTGGTATAATGGGATCGGGAAAGATGGCTTAGTCAAAGTCTGCCTTTTACAGAGAGACTGTAAAAGGCTACCCTCTTGTAGAAAAGGAAACTCTATAAAAATATATCTGCAGACATGAAAAAAAAATATCTGGGTTTGAAAATGTTGTCCTTAAAGCATTGTTCCCATGTCTATTACTTTTTAACTTTGTAATCGCAAGTAGCTGTCAGCTGACTGTGTGCAGCCAGAACAAATGTGTCTGGCTCCATATTTAATTAAGCCTACAAAAATGCTAAACTCTATGTCTAGAATAAAGTTATGCAGGGGGTGGGAAGGTGTACTGGGGACACATAAAGGGAACAATGGGGGCTTTCATAGTGATCACTATGTATTCCTTAAATTATGATGTATTTCTTAAAGTCAAAAATAGAAGCCAATAATAAAGCTGTTTATGTAACCCTGGTAAGAAAAACTCTTGATAAGTATAAATAAAGACGGCCTGAGCTACTCGGAGCCACATGAGTGCAACTCACTTGCTGATCAGAAGTTTTCCTTGTGCCGATGCCCCTTCCCCACCTCAGGACCTGAACCCAAGCCAAGGCTAGACCAAGAAAATGAGACAAAGATTCCAGATGGTGACAGCATGAGATCTGTTGTCCTGACCAAGACTCCTAGGGGCATACTTATAAGACATGTTGGGTTCATTAGCTCACTGCAGTAAGAGAGAACGCACTTGGCTGGGATCCTGGTCTGACTCAGAGAGCACCCAAAACACTCAGAAGGTTGGAACTGTGTTGGGTGATTGGGGAGAGTTCACGAAAACAGGGTTTGACTTTGGGTTGGACAGGGTCTGGATGAGTCGTTCTATGGTGTCTCGTAGTTGAGACAGGGCATTGGCCTGCAGGTGGCGGCACACACCTTTAATCTTAGCTCTCAGAAAGCAGAGACAGGCTTATTTATCATGAGTTCATGGCCAGGCTGGTCTACGGAGCGAGCTGGAGGACAGCCAGGGCTACACAGAGAAACCCTGTCTCAAAAATCAAACAACAAAAAGATAGGCCATTAAAAAGAACCTGCTAGTCCTTGAAATAAACAACGGTGACCTTCAAGTCCTGATCCTCCTGCCTCTTCCTCCCAAGTGCTGGGGTCACAGGTGTGAAGCACCACACCTGGCTGTCTATGACTGGGTGTCCTGATTCCCACCCAGGAATGGAAGGACGACGTAACACATAGCGCACCACGCCTGTCTGCGCTCTATGTGCTACCACACAGTTGGTGAATCAGGCAAGGGGCTGGAGATTAAAACCCACAAATATTCACAAACAGAGAGACACGGGTCATCCTTGATGTCAGAATTTTTGAAACAGGAATGCCCCAAGAATGCCCCTTTTATTGTATCGAGCAGCAGCTTATATAGGGATCCGTAACTGATAGCCATGCCCCAGCCAAACCCACAAGAAACCACTCTCCTAGCCTTGGATAGTAGGACATTTTCCTGGGTAGCGAGCTCATTAACCTGGTTTTAAGGATATGTCTTTAATTTGTTGCTTGTTTGTTTTGTTTTGTTTCATCAAAAGAAAAAGTCCTGTTGTGAAAACATTGGTCAAGAGTAAAAACTTAAGGTCATGCATGTCCGTGAGAAGATATGTAGATTATGATGCTGTCCCATGCTGCAGAATCAGGAACAAGCCAGTTGTGGCTACAGGGCTGAGAATATAGCTCAACTGTAGAGTACCAGTACAAAGGGGAGGAAAAGCTGGAACTGTATTACTTTTCCCTTAAAATGTATGCACACACCTAATAACAAAATGTTTCTAATACCACATTAATTTTCTGAACATTTTAGAATGTGTGTTTATTGACAGAGTGATAAAATTAGGAGCTGTTGGCTTATACCTAGTTTTTTTTTAACAACAAACAGAAAAAGCAATGATTATTTTAAATATACACATATGTACTTCAAAAAAAAAAAAGAAAAGAAACCACTCTCCTGCCATCAGGAACTCCTGAGGGTCTTGTGCTCAGAGCAGCTTCAGGCTGTCTCAGAGCAGAGGAAAACAAGTTGTTACAAGAAGTTCAGGATCTGGGGGTTCACAGCTCCCAACAGCAACAGTCTCTGATAGGCGTCTCAGGGACATGTAACCACATTCACAGCTTAAACAATGCTTTCCGACATTATGACAAAGGGATTTGTTTTTGTCTTGATCCACCCAAGACGCAGAGTGGCCCTATGGGAAGTATGTGTATTGTGACATTTTTATGTTTAACAGGAGAGTGCCACAGCCAAGGAATCGTGTGCTGACTCCTTCATGGCAGGGGCTGCTGATATTCTCGGGTCTGTTCTCACTCAGCCTCCCAAGATACTGCTGTTAGTGTTCTTTTCTTATTAAATCAGGAAACTGGGGCTAAAAAGATGGCCCATTGAGTAAGGATCCTTGACAGACTAACTTTGACACCTTAGCTCCATCCCTGGAAACGAAGTACAGGTAAAAAGTGCGAATTGATTCCATAAAGTTGCTCTCTGACCTCTACACATGGTGCCATTTCATGCATGCCCCATCCCCAGCTCTCCCTCTCTCACACACACACATATGTGCACACACACATATGCACACACATTGATATTAATATTAATCAATAATTTTAAATGTATTTGGTTGCTTATTAATGTATATATGTGAGGGTATTATCTGTGTGTGCATGAATACATGTGTTCAGTTTAAAAGCGGTGTTGGATCCCCTGGAACTGCACTTACAGGCTGTTGTGAGGTGCCAAGCATGGGTGCTTGGTCCTCCAGCAACAAGTGTCCTTAATCACTGAGCCATCTCTCCAGCACCAGTAAAAAGAAAAAAAATTAAATAAATCAGGAAACTATGTGTTATGCAGCTATTTCCTTCTAATCAAAATCTTCAGTCTTAGGTCAAAGAGGAAGACTCTTAAGACTCATGAAGCTTAGAAAGTTACAAGACACAGGAAGTCCGTTTTCCCTCCCATTCCTTCCACCCCGACCCCTCTCCAAGGTTTTATGAAAAGTGGCAAACGCCTGCTAGAGGAGAAGAGACTCTCTGTGGAGCCGCCCTAGGCTGAGCAGAGCTCCACGGTGTAGCCAGAGGAGAAGAGAGTCTCTGCAGAGCTGCCCTAGGCTGAGCAGAGCTCCATGGTGTAGCTAGAGGAGAAGAGAGTCTCTGCAGAGCTGCCCTAGGCTGAGCAGAGCTCCACGGTGTAGCTAGAGGAGAAGAGAGTCTCTGCAGAGATGCCCTAGGCTGAGCAGAGCCCCAGGGTGTAGCTTGGGTGAGTCTTCACCATCACCCGTGCTGGGATGAGCTGAGATACAGCTGCCTTTTAACTTCCCACAATCCTCTAGGTAGCTTCTCAGTCACACTCCTCTAGGTAACACTAACAAAATCATTGGTCCACTAAGCTAAACTTAGTGGGAATCATTTCTTTGCCTGTCACTTGTGCCCTGTCTGGACTGCACAGGCTTTTGTTCATGTCTCCCTAGGAAAAGTCACACAACACTGAGGTCCAGAAAGGATAAGGACTTCATCTAGAGAAAGAAACCAAGAAAACCAGGGAGCAAATTTGGGGGATTTTATGGCAATTTGGCACAAACTAAAGTCATCCGAGAAGAGGGAACCTCAAATAAGAAAGTGTCTCCATTAGATCAGACTGTAGGCGAGCCTGAAAGGTATTTTCTTAATCAGTAATTGGTGGGAGAGCATGCAGTCCATAGCGGATGCACCCCTGGCTGGTGGTCCTGAGTTCTATAAGAAAGTAGGTTGAGCAAGCCATGAGGAGCAAACCAGTAAGCAGCATCCCTCCATGGCCTCTGCATCAGCGCCTGCCTCCCTCTGGGTTCCTGCCCTGTTTGAGTTCCTGTCCTGCCTTCCTGCCGTGTTGAACTGTGATCTAGAAGCAAAAGCCAAATTAAACACTTTCCTCCCCAGTTTGCTTTTGGCAGTGGTGTTTCATCACAGCATAGAAGCCAGGAGCCTCATGCAATGCTCACACAGGTCTCTCCAGCTCTGCATACTGGAAACTCTTTGGCAAAGCATTGTCCTCCAAGAGGACTCAAGGAGGTGGTCAGATGGTAGCTGCAAAGCTTGAGGGAGAAGCCACCACCAGCAGACACTCATTGCCTATGCCAGAGGGTGTGCAAATGTTCAAGAACTTAAGTCACATGGTCACCATCTCTTAGGGAAGAGGAAACATTTCCTGACTTATTTAAATCAAACGGCTTATATTTCCGTAACAATCAAAACAAATTCACTCAGCAATTTAGGAGCTATAACCAAAGTTTTAAGTACTGAAATTAAGCACATTAAAGTAGCATAATTCTCTAACATAAAGGTAACACAGGGTGGGCAGCTGCTGTTCCTTCCAGCCTTCATTTTATAACCATCTCCACTAACAGCCAAACTCCCCACTTACCAGAAGGTTTTCCGGTTTCAGATCCCGGTGGACAATCTTCTTGTCGTGCATGTGAACGAGGGCCTTACACAAGTCTGTGATCATGAGTGCAGCATTGTGCTCTGGAAACTTGACCCTTTCGATGATGGCATCAAAAAGGTCCCCTCCCTGAACATACTCCATGATCAGGAAGATCTCAGCTTCCGTTTCATAGACCTCGTGCAGTTTCACTATGTTGGGATGAGAGAGACTCTGAATGATTAAGATCTCACTGTCAACTATGTCCTCCTTACCCTTCAACTTGGACTTGTCAATAATCTTCATCGCGAAAGCTTGCTTGGTCTCGCGGTGTTTGCACTCTTTCACGACGGCAAAGTTCCCGTCCCCAATGACCCTCCCGATGTCATAGTGCTTCTCCACATCAGCTGAGATGATGCCCAGCGGCCGCAGCTTCCGGCCACTGGGCCGGTCTGGCTTATTCTCTTCCAGCTTCGTCTTTGGCTCCTTTTCTAGCACCGTCCTCCTTCCTCCTGACATACCCGGCTTCTTCCCGTGGTCCGCTTCCTTCTCCTCCCCTTGGGTCCTGGGGAGCTGTGGGGGTTCAGCCAGGTGTTCCCTCAGGAGCCAGGCCCCATGTTTGTTCCTGCATGTGTGCCTGGAGTCTTTCTTCGTATCCACCAGCCCGTCCTGTACTGCTGGTGGACCTTCTGTGAGGTCCTTCTGGGTCCTAGCTGTTCCTTGAGGGTGACTTTCCTGAGGTTCGGAGCATCTGTTCTCTTTCTTGTCAGAGTGGTTGCTGGGTCTCCTCAGCTCCTGAGGGGGATTCCTGGGGCTGCTCCGATGGTTCTCGCCCTTCCACCCTTCCTCTCCATCCGTGGAGTTTGCCTCGGAAGCCCTCCTGCAGCTCTTGGTCCTCACCAGCTTCTCGGAATCCCACTTCTGACCCCTCCCCAGGTCCAGCTCACTGATCCCCAGAGGGCAAGGCTCCCTCTGCAGGCCCAGCTGCAGCTCTCTTTCTCGCTTATACTTCTCGCACCTGACAATCTCCCCCGAAGTCTTTTCAATCTCCAGCCCCAGATGCTTCTCCCCACCTGCATGAGTCTCCTCCAAAGTGGCTTCCGTGGGTGGTGGCAGGGCACCAGGTTCTGGCTCCTGTTTCCCTCTTACCCACTGCTGGGCCCTCACCTTGCCTTCCAGGGCCAGCTCCGTAGGGGTCTTGCCCTGATGCCTGGTGACTGCCCTGTTTCCCATAACCTCATTGCAGTTTCCCACCTCCCCACAGTGGTGGCCTCCTTTCAGAAGCTTGCTGGGAAGTCTGCTCCTCAGCCTTGGGGAGGGGGCTCTGCTGTGTGGGGCCAGGGCCAGGGCCCGGTTCTTGGGATACAGCTCCTCCATAGCCAACTGGATGCTCTTCAGGGTGAGAGGCTCCTTGCCCATAGCTATGAAAGCATCGCCCTCCCTGAAGAAGTCCGACACGCTCTTGACTTCCCGGCCCTTCAGGGTGAAGAGCTTCCGCACACGGTCATTCTTCCATCGTGGAGAGCCCAGGGCTTCCGAGATGTCTGCTAGGAGCTGCTCAAAGGTCTGCACCGACCGCCTGTTGAGGAGCAGGGTGGCCTTGCGGAGGGGCTGCCCACCCAGCTTCACCACCGTCACCACCCTGGGCTTCAGCGGGCTGTGCTCAGCACGGACTGAGTGAAGGCCACTCTGAGGACTGAACAGGGGCATGATGGCACCGCGGGGCCCCAGGACAGGTTTCTCCAGAGGTCCTCGCCCAGCAGGTAGCCAGGAGCCTTGCAGCTTTCGCTCAGAAATCTTCGAGCTTAAACATTTTAGAGACTGGTCACATGGTCCTCGGTGGCCTGCAACAGGAAAAAGACAAAGGAGGCTAGTCAAAGTGGGCTTAAAGAATCCTTTGGACTTCATCAAACTTGACTGATGAAGGACCCAGAAGTGTAACTCAGTCACAGAGCAGCTGACCTGCACATGAGAGGACTTGGGCTCTATGTCCCAGCCATAAATAGGTAGACAGACAGACATATCCGTTATATTATATGTAATATATATTCTACTGTCACTGTTTAAGTACATGAAATGACGGCGCCTTTAAGCATTGTGTCTTAGTTCCAATCTCCTCCATGAGAAAATAGGATCTGGAACTGAATCAGCAGAAGGCTGAGGTGGCTCTTTTGCAGGGACCTCCCCTGAGCCTGGCCACACTTGGGACCTTCTAGAGTCAGAATCTGGTCCATTGAACACAAGTTAAAGCCCCAAACTGTCTACCTAGGATGCAAGATGAAGCTAAAACATTCCAGAACTTAAGGGTCTCCGATCTTCCCCATCCTTGGTCCAGCTATATTTTCAACTCCTACAAGAAAGGCAGTAGAAGAGGGCATGCCCAGGATGTCTCTCCTGGAGTGACCCCTATGTTTATAGATGCGGGCAAAGTATTTGTGCTTCCATTTTCTTCATCTATACAATAGGAAGGGTGGCATTTTCCTCCCAGTTTTGCAGAGTAAATAGGAAAGTGATGAACAAATACTAATATTAACAAATATTAACAAAATACTGACACTTATCAGAACTTACTTTATAATCTTAGTATTGGCTTTGTGTTATCATTTCATTCAGTTGAGGTACAAGTCTGTAGGCACAGCTCTGCCTGGCATCATAAACAGGGCTGGGCCAATGGGGGGAGGGGCGGGGTTAAAGCTCTAATTGAGAGTTTGCAGAAAATGTTGCTGTAAAGATTTGATTTCAATCCATATAAAGAAACCTCATTCTGTAGAAGGTTTTTCTTCTCTTGTTTAAAGTAAGCTATATCTCAGTGTTACAAAGTGCAATTAACAGGAACAGTGTACAAAGCCCTAGATTATTGTATCCCAGAACCAAAAAGAAAAGGAAAGAAAGGTGGTACAGTACCACAAGCTTGTGACCCGAGCACTGGGGAAGTTGAGGCACGAAAGCTGCCATGCATGAGACCGAGTTCCAGGCTAGCAGGCTTCAAAATGAGACCCAGTCTCAAACAAGTCGGCACACAGCACACGCCTTTAATCCCAGCACTCATGAGTCAGAGGCAGGTGGGTCTCTGTGAGTCTAAGGCCAGCCTGGTCTACACAGTGAGCTCCAGGCCAGATGAGGGATACATAGTTAAATGCTGTCTCAAAAAAAGTGTGCTTAGAGAAATGGCTCAGTGGTTAAGAGTATTGGCTGCCCTTCCAAAAGATTCTAGGTGCTGGATTGCAGGATTCAACATACATACTTCGTTGGCCACCAGGCATATATATACATGGTGTACATATAACCATGCAGGAAAACACCCACACAATAAAGTAAAATAAAATAAAACAATAATAATATTAGTTTTAAAGGGTTAATGGGGGGGGGCAGGAGAAACGACCCAGTGATTAAGAGCACAAACTGGGCTTGCAGAGGACCGGAGTTTGGTTTTCAGCTCCCCTGTCACCCATGCCTCCCACCTGTGAGTCCAGCTCCAGGGGATCCAGCTCCTTCTTCTGGCCCCTCATGTGCCAAACTCACACCCACACACAAAGATTTTGAAATAAAAGAAAAATACTTTTCAAGTAACTATAAAGCTCAAACTTTCAAAGTGATTCCCTGTGAGCGCATTTGAATCCACCACAGCAGAAATCTCACTCGTGCAGAGATGGACAGCTTGGCCCACATGTCCACACAGAATGTGTTTTGTTTTTTTTAATTATAACATACAATCTGTTCTGAGACGATTTCTATCCAGGCACGTTGTCGATCAGATGACAAAGTAGTAGCTGGCGCTGATCTTCCCACATGCCAGGAATTTATGAGCTTGACAATCACAGTTACAGTTAAGAGATTTATTTATGGACATCTGTTATTCTTCTCGCAGTCACCCTGCCTCGGTCGTAGGCAGTGGAACACTGATCTGAACTCCCTGCGTTGCAGACCTGAAGAAGGCTAGGAGGAAGGTGACCATGAAATGTATGTGTATGTGTGAAGGGCTGATAAAAATAAGAACATTGTCCTTATTTTTTGTGCTCTTTATGTGGGGTAGAACCTTGATTCAGACTTATCAAACTCTTGGTTGAGAAGTCAAAGTCTAGGAACAAAGAATGCTTATCTCAGCCAATATCCCATAAAGAGCTTTCCCAAGTAGGAGTAGAGAAAGGGTAGCTCAAAGGATCAAATACTGGCTAGGGTCAGAGCCCCCCCCCCCCAGGAAGCCAAGAGGCAGATTGAATACAAATATAAGAAGAGTTTCAAGAATGCTTGAAGGACAGGCATTGACTTGAGTCTTCAGCACTAAATGGGGTGAAGACCCACAGTAGTGGGGCGCAGGACCCTGCCATGGAGTTGCACAGGTTGTCCATGTGGTCCTGAGGTTACTACAAATAAATGCAGAACTCAAGGGGGAAGCAGAAAATGCCAGTTATTAGAAGAAATGACCAGTCTCTGTATGACAGTGTCTGACCAAGGGACAAGACAAGCCTCCACTGGGGAAGAACAGGATTGGGAGGTGGGAAAATAGGAAGCCCTGAAGCAGCCCTGAGAAGCTACATTCCCAGTCCTGCCTTCAAAATCCATGGGCTTTGCAAGAGAAGCATCCTCTATTCCAGGGAGGAAAAGAAGAAGGGTCCTCAGAGGACAACCAGGCAGACAAAAATCCATAAATACACTGGCGAAGGTGGGCATTCATCATGGAAGGAGGCTTAGAAAGACCCCAGAGAGAGGGCGGTGTGAAGTGGTGCTCATGAAACAGGACCAACACTGGGTGGCCTCTGCACCAGAGAGCAGCTTAGGAGAATGAAGATATGAGCCATAACAGGACCTGCACCCTCAAGAGCACAAACATTGCAAGTGCACAGTATGGGTCCTGATGAGCAGTTTGACCCCAGGTACCCAGGCCTGGGTGGAAGAGAATGGATTGTCAGGATAGCTATACTTAGACATCTTCAGAAGACTCCGCCCAAAGTTTTCATGGATCCCGGGAAGTTAGAAGAGCAAGCTGATGGGACCAAGAAGACAACCCAGGACACGGTCAAATGGAATATAAAACAGAACAGTTCAGTTTTTACAACAAAGCATCAATTATGTCTAGACACCCAGCTCACTGGAAACAACATAGTTCAAAGAAAGACAGAGAACTCAGCCCCTCACCCTCCCACTAACACTGGAGCTTACAGAGTTCTGGCTACAGCAAGGAACTAGGGATCCCCAGGGAAAATGCAGCTATGTTAGTGACTGTATTTGTTGCTTTTCTTGGAGCTCTGACAGGAAACATGACAGAAGTGACTTACAAAATAGAAGGTTTATTTGGGCTCTGGGATACAGTCTGCCATGTGGGGAAAGTCGTGGAAGCAGGATGGGGAGGAAGCTGGTTACATTCCATCCATAGCCAGAAAGGAGAAAGAGATAAAGACTGGTGTCCAATCTTGTAGTGATATTTCATCTGTATTTAATTAAAATGCCTGGAGTTCAGAGAGTAAAACGACTGCACTGATCATCCTTACAGACCAGGCAGTGGTGACACACACCTTTAATCCCAGTAGCCACACTAGTTTGCTATAAAACCAGGCGGTAGTGGTGCACGCCTTTAATCCCAGCGCTAGAGAAGAATATAAAACAGGAGGAGACAGCTCTCACACCCAGTCCCATTCTGAGATTCCTGGAAGCAGGATCATCATTTTGGACTGAGGTAAAGGTAAGAGCCAGTAGCTGACTGTTTTGCTTTTCTGACCTTCAGATTGAACCAATTTCTGTCTCTGAGTTTTTATTAATCATGCTACATAATCTGCTCGTTTTGTCAGCCCACGACTCCTGCCCACGGCCTGGTGCCACTACAGTTCTTGCGGGTCATCCCACTTCAGTTAGCCTGAGTTGGAGACGTCCTCAAGAACACACCCCTAGATTTGCCTCCCAGGTGACTCTAGACCCGTTCAAGTTGACAATCAAGATCAGCCATTGCACACCTTCTGTCACAAGCAACAGTGTCACTATTTGGAGCAGCAAGCGTTGTCATTGAGCAGACCACCTACTGAATGGGTTGGAGCTGGTGGGAGAAAGACTTTGTGATCAAACACTCACCTTCCACAAGGAAAACCATCAAGGAAAGTGTGTCGAGGACAACTAGGCAACAGCGGTCCATTTGCTCCAAGTTGGGGCAAACTTCATTTTGTGACTGCAGTCTCAAGTGTAGAACCAGAAGACCTCCATTAAATACTAAATCCACCCGAGTGAGTCTCATTAGCTGAGAGCATGCAGTAACATGCTATAATCCCTTTGGGTTTCAGTGTTTCTGCCGGCCTGCTATTTTGTCATTTTGGAAGAGAAAAGTTCATTGAGAAGATGCCTTCATCAAACTGGCCCATAGGCACATCCGGGTGGCATTTTCTGGATTGTTGACTAATGTAGGAGGGCCCAAGGCCACTGTGGAAGGTGCCACCCCTGGGCAGATGGGCTTGGGCTGTATTACAAAAACAGCTGAAAGTGAGCCTGGGAGCAAGGCGGTAAGTAGCATTCCCCTGTGGTCCCTACCTCTGCATTCCCGCTCTGATTTCCTTCAGTGATGGACTATGTTCAGGCCATATAAGCCAAATAAACCCTCTCCTTCCCAAGTTGCTCTTGGTCATGGTATGTATCACAGCAATAGAAAGACATGTAGGACAGTCCCAAACAGCCACAATGTCTCATTCACACTGAGGGAACCGGCGTCCTGCTTGGCCCTGATGGGCTCTCCAATGGTGCAGGATTTTCCACATTTGGGGATGCAGAGGCAGACAGATCTCTGTGAGTTCAAGGCCAGCCTGGTCTACCGGGTGAGTTCCAGGACAGCCAGGGCTGTTACACAGAGAAACCCTATCTCTAA